CCTGTTGCCTGTGGTGAGACAGCACATCATGGGAGAACATATGGTAGAGGTATGACTTACCTCATGGCAGCCAGGAAGTGAAGAGAGAGGAAGAGATGAGGTTCCAATGTCCCCTTCAAGGACCTGTCCCTATGGGCTAACTTCCTCCCATCCATGAGGCCCCACCTCCTAGAGGCTCTATCACTTCCCAACAGTGCCACAGGATGGTTACCAAGCCTTCAACACCTAGCCCTTTGGGGGACATTCAGGACCCATCTGTAGCAGTTTCCTTTTCTGTAAAATGGGGGTAAAGGTGAAAGAGTTGATGAAGGATGAAGGATGTCAGGTATGTGTGGTGTTAGCAACGTCTAAGGGTAACAAGGATTGATGACCTCCCAGGAAGGTGAGGTGACTTCCCCCCAGTTGCCTAGCAAGTCCCATCAGGACCCGGAACTCAGACTCAAATCTCATGTTGATCTCTCCTCTGTGAGCAGTGTGCTTCTTAGAAAGCAGGAGGTGTTTGGTCAGCTGTGTGCACCTCCTGGAGGGGTCCACGGCATCAGGTTCAACTTATGCTCAGGGACTAGTGGAGTGGAAAAGCCAAAACTGAGAGTTTGTCTGACACTAACAGACTTGAGTCTCCTTACCTTGTCTTTCTGATTACAGTTAAAGGGTAGTTATTGACCATACCTGGTACCATGCTAGACTCTGGGGAGGTATCTGCAAATGCAGAAGATGTGGTTTCACCCCTGCAGGGATCATAGAGACTGCACTTGTGGAAAGGCCATTACAGTCCACACAACTTGACAGAGGCTCTGAATGAGGAGTGGGTGAGAAGCCTCAGATGCAGAGGAGTGAGTGGGAGAGGCATCCCCAAGGAAAGCACCTTTGGGCAGAGCCCTGAGGAGCAGAAGAGCTGGTCAGACCAGAGGAGGGTCTGGGGGTGGAGTCAGGTGAGTCCAGAAGCCAGGGACACAGAGGGCCTGAGTGACAGCTAATGTGACCACAAGAGAGTGCAGCAGGGCCTGGGAGACAGTGAGGGTGGATGAAGAGTGAGCTGGAGAGGCAGCCAGGGCCAGGCTGGGCCTGGGTTTTCTTAGTGGAGGAGTGGGGCTTGTTGTGGGAGAAACACTGAATGGGCCCTGTATCGGGGGCAGTGGCAGGATCAGGACATTTGAAGAAGTCTCTTGCTGACTGTTTTGTGGAGAGGCGATGGTGGCCTAGGCTCAGGGTGCAGAGATGGACATCCTGGAGCATATACTGAATGGAGTGCTGATGGCTAGGATGGACTAGATGTGGAGAGGAAGGGAAACAGTCACCAAGGATGAAGCCCACGCTGCTGGCGTGGCCAATCCTGTGCATGAGATGTGGACCCAGCTGCAGGCAGAGGAACCTTGGACCTGTGGCAAAGCAGCACATCATGGTAGAGGAAGCTGTTCAACTTATAGCATCCAGAAAGCACAGAGAGAAAGGATTCCCAATAACTCCTTCAAGAACACACCTCCAGTGACCTGACTAAAGCCCCCCAGGCAGATGGTGAGGGGCAGTGGATGTTCAGCAACGTGATCAGAGCCGGAGAGAATAGGGGAGCCATCAGCACACCAGGCATGCAGGGGGAAGCCACTGGGGAGGGGAAGGTGTGAGCGAGAAGAGGGGGCACCAGCATGGGAAAGGTGGGCAAAGAAGGAGCTGCAAAGGAGACACAATCAGGAGAGAGCAGGGCCACGCCAGCCAAACAGGCGACTCCAGAAGGTGGTGAGGAGGCAGATAGGATAAGAAAGATGTCCTTTGGGTTTGGCACCCTGTGACCTCAGCAAGGACAGTCAAGAGCAGGGTCTAGACTGCGGTGTGCTCATTCGGGAGTGCAGAGTGCTGAGGAGGGACACGGGCTGTGCAGGGAGGCAAGCACAGGGAGCCAGAGCAGAGCACAGCTGGGGACCCTGGGGCAGCTTCAGGGTTGGTTGTTGTGACTGAGAGCCCTGACTGGGTGGTGGGAGGATGGAAGGTGCCAGGAGACAGCAGCTAATGGGGCAAGGCCTCTGTGCTGGCAGGAGGGGCAGAATCCTGAGCAGAAAAGGGGCTCATCCCCAGGCGAGAGGAAGGTCCAGCACACACAGACAGCTGCCCCAGGCTGGCCCTTCAGAAACCACAAAGCTAGCCAAGCCATGGCCCTATCCCTGGAGGAGCAGAGAAGACACAGGCTCCCAGCGTTCAACCAAGGCAGTCTCTTTGAGGTCCCAGGCCCCGCGGTGGCCATCCTCAGGCTCTCCATGACCTTTGACTCTGCTGGCCTGCCCTTCTCTACACTCTCTCTTCTGGGCTTCTGAACCACACTTCTCTCCCGGCTCCCCTCTGCTCTGGCCTTTCTGTGTCTGGGGCCAGTTTGGGGCCAGTTTTTTCTGCCCTCCCATACCCTCAGAGCCTCCAGGGCTCTGCCCTTGGCGCCCTTCTCCTCTAGCTTCTCATTCTCTTGTATGGTCACCTTCCTCCTCGCAAACCTGTACAAACTCTCCCACATCTCAGATCTCCAGCCACGTGCCAGACATCTCTTCATGTGCATTTCACCAGCCCTTCACACTCAGCAATTAAAAACTAGGGTCCCCATCACTTCCCTCCCATCATGTGAATGTTTCCACTTGAACAAGCCAAGTTGAAAACTTTGGATCTTTGTCTCTGTCTCATTGTGAGCCCTGACCCATCTAGATGGCCACCAAGGCCTGTGAAGCTCATGTCCAGAAGGCCTCTTGAGTTGCTTCCCTAGAACAAATGCTCAGACTCCTCCAAATCATTCCCATGGAACCAAGAAAGCGTCGTCTCTTTGAGACTTGGTGTTGGACGACACTGAGCAGGTCTACACTCTTAACATGGCATTCAAGGCTGATGATGATCCAGCCTGCCCTGCCTCTCTGACCTCATCTCCTCTTACCTACCACACTCCAAGCCTTTTAACACCTCTGCCGTTGCTCCTGAGGCTTCTGCCAGGAGTTCTCCCTTCTCTCTCTCTCTCTCCATACTCCCCAACCACTGTCAGTCCAGGCAGTCCCCTCTGCTCCCAGCAGACTCTGCACACCTTCTGTGGTACGTGACAAGGTGCTGTGCACAGCTCTGTATGGGTGCCCCAATCAAGGCCTGCTGGGTGCTGTTTGAGCCCTCTCCTCTCTCTCTAAGATGGTGTCTCCTTTCGGCTTGGTGTGGAAGAAGACGTGAAGGGACCTGAGAGCGGCCAAGATGGCCGATACTACTGTTGCTGCTTTGTTGGCCTTAGTAAGAGTGAAGCCCAAATACCACAGAGGTCAGAGTGGCTACGGAGCTGTGGGGAGCAGGAGGGTGAAGGGGAAGCTGGCCTTGAAGGATGCCACTGTGCTTGGCAATTGGAGGGGCAAGTGTCATGGACCCACTGAGCAGGGCCAAGTGGAGACTGGTGTCAGGTGGAGCCTCCAGGGCAAGCCGAGCTCACTCTGTCTTCCCCTTATCTGGGAAAAGGAGCCCTATCTCAAGCTGATTCCCCTGAAGACTGGGTCTCAGGCCACAGAGAGAGATGGGAGTTAAAATCAGATATAGGCAGCTGCTTTGTGCCCAAGAGGCCTCCTGCATTAAAGTGAACCCCTGTCACGTAGGAGGCAGGCACCGAGTATTTGGCCATAGGGTCCTTTTCCTAGGAGCAAAAGGAGATCATCTTTCCCCACAGCCCTCCCAAGGCCTAGTTTCCTCTGTTGAGCAAGATGGTGCTTTCCCAAGAGCAGGTGAAAAGTTGGCCTCCCAACCTGAGGACTGGCTGAGTGGGGCAGTCAGTGTCTGTGGAGGTAAAGAAAGGGCAGTTTTGCCTCTTTGAGAAGTCTGCCGGCCAATGGTGAGGCGACCAAAGAGCGGGCTCTCTATGTGCTAGTGGACGCTAGTAGACAGCGACTCACATGTGAGTGTGCATGAGATGGGGGGTGTGCGTGTGGGGAAGGTTGTAAGCGAGTGCGTGAGCGTGAGCAGGGCTGTGAGCCTGTGAGAGGCTGAGGTGTGCCGCAGGCCTGAGAGGCTACCTGAGCAAGGGGATGGGTCATGAGCGTTGAGCGTGCATGGGGCACAGTCTGCGCCTGGGGTGTGAGGGTGAGGTGAGAAAGTGTCTGTGTGAACGTCTGTGAGCGTGAACAGGGAGGGCGGTGACCCCTCCAGTGCTGCCTATGCCTCCCACCGCCACCCCTCTTTCAAGCCTGTCCTTGTGATAACCTACAGCCTGAGATGAAGGCCCATGGAGCAGAATGGGGTCCTTGTGGCTGTTTCCTCCTCCAGGCCACCTGCCTGCCCCTCTCCAGGGGCACTGGGTGAAGGGAGCGTGGGGCTCCTGGACTCCAGACTGGAGGCCAGGGAAACAGTTGTGGTCCCCAGTACATCCTTCACCTGAGGGTCAGCGGGCTTCCTGCAGTATTATCCTTGGCCCTTGTGAGAGCTGATGGGCTGGAGGAAGGCAGGTTCGGATCAGGTTCTGTACCTTTCTGGCTGTGGAATCTTGGGTGAGTGTCGCCCCTCTCTCAGTCTTGTGGTCTCAAAGTCTTCATTGTGAGGTGATTGTAATTTAGCAAGTGATGTGTCCCGCACAGAGTGAGTGCTTGGTAACTGGCAGCTGCGAGAGTCGCTGCTGCTGCTGCTGCTACTGTTATTTTATAGGGTTTTTCTAAATTGTCTGTGATTCTGGAGGCCTACGGTGGCTGTTCCTTGTGGCAGAGCAATTCCTGAGGCTGGTTGAGGAAAGGTGGTCTGGGAACCTGTGGCCTCACTTCCCCTCACAGGGAGCTCTAGTCCCTGGGGCTCGGGTGAGGAAGGAAGGTGTAGCCCCACCTGTCCATATGAGTGGCAGCAATGCAGGGGTCCACAGTGGGTCCCCTGGACAACTGGCTTCCTGCCGGCCCTGGGGTCCTCTGTTCCGCGTCCACCCTGGCTTGAAGCAGCTAGGAAGAGCGTGCATCTTCTGAGGTGGGAACCTACCTCTTCTCCTCCTTTTTTTTCCTTTACATGACGCCTGTTGCTCATAGGTACAAATCAAACGAAGAGTATGTATATGTGCGAGGCCGCGGCCGAGGGAAATATGTTTGTGAGGAGTGTGGAATTCGCTGCAAGAAGCCCAGCATGCTGAAGAAACACATCCGCACCCACACTGACGTCCGGCCTTATGTGTGCAAGCACTGTCACTTTGCTTTTAAAACCAAAGGTAAGAGACAGTCAGCTGGGGCACAGCACTGCCCTGTCTGCTGCAGGGAGCCCTCCACTGGGAGCCCAGCACAGACCTCTCTGCCTGGGCCTGGAGCGCCCCACTTCCTGGGTTCTCACCCCACTTGGTGCCATGGCAGAGCAGCCAGTTCCAGGTTGGGTGGAGTCACACATGGCTGCCCCAGCTGGTGCTCTTGCAGCCTGCACACAGCCCCTCCCCCACCTGCACCTGCCTCTCCCCATCCCTGCCAGGCTGCATCTTGCCCACAGCTCCTGGTTTCTCCCTGTCTCATCACACTTCCTTTTGCATGTCTTTTTAGACTTTTATCCGCTGATCTGACACCCTCCAAGCATCCACACTGGTCGCTGCCACTCTCCCATTTGGAAATCCATTCCACTTTGAGCCGCTCAACACACTCGCATGCTCCTGTCCCATGCCAGAGTTCACTCCTGCTCCACCCCTCTTCACCACTCCACCAAGCCCCCGTGGGACTCCTGCCCCCGGCCGTGCTCCACCTCAGGGTCAGGGCAGGTGCTGGCATTCTCCTGTGAGAGGAAGGACTGGCTATTGATGGCATGTGTCCCAGAGAGCTGCGATAGGTGATGGGGTGGCCTGGTGCAGCCCCTAGCAGGATGTGACTGGTCTACTGATCCACGCCCATGGGATCCTCGGATAGAGCTGTTCCCCTGCAGGGGCTTCCCATAGCTTGCTTCCCATGTGTGGGAGCTGAGCAGAGCAGTGTGCCTTGAAAGAAGGCCAAGGCTGTCTGCACGCCTGGCTGTCAGCATCTCATACTTTGCAGATTCCTGGGTCAGGGTTTGACACAGGGATCCTGCCTACTTTAAGCAAGTTGAGGGCCTCCATGATGGCCCCAAAGGAGCCACATGATTTCTTTGGGAATAAAGCTCGAGGGAAGACTTTGGCTTTGCACTTGTCATTTCTTCTGTTGGTAAAGCTGCTCCCAGCAAAAGAGGCTGGGCGGCCACTGTGGAGAGGAGCCCAGCAGAGACCTCCAGCCCCCTTCCTTCCGAGTCCTTTTGTCTTGAACCTTCTGTTCCTTCTGGGGTAGGTCAGGGGCTAGCTTAGTGCATCCCCTGGCTCCGCGGCCTCCTCTCCGGCCATGTTTCTGTTTCCGGTCTCCTGGCCCTATTAGCTGACTCCTGCCTTCCTCAGCCTTCTCTCCATCATCTTTGAACTAAGCTCCGATTTTGCCACCAAGGTCTCGTTTCCTTTCCCTGATCCTCTGCTCTCTTAAGGTCTCAGAGACCGTGTCTCAAAGGACAGAGAGGCTTGGAGCCCCCACACTGATACCTGGTGCATCAAAGGCATCCATCCGGGGTGACCTGATGTGCCCAGGGCAGCTCGGCTCAGCAGCATTGGCTCTGGCTCCCCACAGGTCCCCTCCAGTCCCACTTTCTCCGGCGTTAGGCAGCCAGTTGAGGTTCTGTGGAAGAGAGAGATGGTAATAACTAGCTGATAATTTCAAGAACGCTCTGCAACCCTGAAGTGGAATCTTCTTGTCCAGACCCCTTGAAGGTGAAGAAAATGGATCTTAGAAACCAGAAGTGATGGTGCATCCTGGAGCCCTTGTCACCAGGGCACCACACACTCATCCTCCTCGCTGTGAGTGGATCCTCCCTCCTCTGGAAGGGGTGGTAACAGCTGTAATTAGGGGCCTCTGGAGTGAGCCACAGGTGCTGCCCCTTTACCCACCATGCATCCAGGGAACACAGGCTCAGGGAGCCTCCTGGGCCCAGGCCATGCACGGCACACCTGCATTCAGCACACAGTCACCAGGGAGCCAGCACCTCTGCCCCCAGGACAGGAGAAACCCATTCCCATTGAGTTCCCAGCCAAGCAGGCCCCCAAGGGCCTCACTCAATTCCTGTGCCCTGCAAATTCTGCCAAATCTGAGGGATGTCTGAGGCCTACATGGGACTCCCAGTTCCCAGGGGATGCCTTCATTGGAAGCCATGCCCAGCCTGGCTCTAGTCCCTTCCAGGTCTCTCTGAGCTACCACAGAGTCTGGGAGAGTCCAGAGTGCAGAATCTGAGCAGAGGGCCTGCAGGCCCTTGGTATTTGCATGGATGTGGAGTATCCCCTGAGACAGAGTGGTATGTGCTGCCCCCAGCCCGGCCTCTCTCTCCCCAGTGGTTAGGAGTACATGGAGCTCTTCCTCCTCCATGCCTTCCTGGCCAAAGCTAGCGTGAAACTGAGCTGGTGGAATCTCAACTCTGCGTGTGGCACAGAGGAGGCGCCTTGGGAGTGTGGGAGTAGCAGGTGGATGTAGTGAGCAGTGCCCCTTGGGGAAGAGAAGGGAAGAAGCTGAAGCTCTTGGCTCTCCCTGGGGCTCTATCTCTGGGGTGCCACTCTCTGATAACACAGGCCACTCTCTTTCCAGGGCTGTCTGGCCACCTCACCTCTCTCCCCCTCACCCTTGAGCTCTGGCCCACGTGAAGCGGCCTGAGGGATGAGCTGGGGCTGGCGGTCCTCGGGGCCCCTGCTGCCACTACCTGGCTGCACCGTGCCTGTGAGCCCTTCCTGTCTGTCTCTGTCTGCCTGTCTGTGTCTTGTCTCTGTGTCAGACGTCAAGGTGGCAGCTCAGGCCTGGGGGGGGGGGTGCACCCGAGGAGTGTCTCAGTGGGTGGGGCCAGGAAAAGCCTGCAGGCTGACCCTGTGGAGGTTGGGGTCGGTTCCTCTTCTCAGATGATTCCCAGAGGCCAGGAGCCAGGAGGGTGGCCGTGCCATATACAGGCCCTTGCGCCGATTGCCTCAGGGGACAGAGATGGCGACTGTGGGCTCACCTCGCGTCCATCGGGCCAACTGGTTGGGGCTGGGCAGTGGGTTGGTGCTGCAGGAAGCAGTTAAGGTCACTGACTGTTGATCCTAGCGCGTCTCATGCTTTTGCCAGACACCTCCCATTTTCCATCCATTGGCCTTTTCTTCACTTCAGGGCTGCCAGGCTTTGGGTGGGGGGCTGGGTTGACAGTGAGAAGCTGTGGACTCTGCTCCTTGGTAGAGTCCTCCGAGATGAGGGCCTGCCCTTTGACAGAGAAGTGGCATCCAGGTTGTGCCTGGGGCAGTTTGAACCTTCTCCTAGGTCACAGCCAGGCCCAGAGAAGCAATCGCAGAGGGAAGTGGGAGGACACTCAGGGCTGCTCATCCACGTCTGTTCCTGTGACCTGCAAAGTTGCCTCAGACTCACTCCCCCTCCCTGCAACCCCAGGGCATGGGAGCAGAGGAGAGGCAGGCCCTTGGGGTTGGGGCTCCCTAGCCTTCTTCTGAGAGCCCTTGAGACCCAGACTGAAAGATGGAAACATTTCATCACAAGCATGTCTCTCCTTCATACCCAGCATGGTGTGTGGCAGAGTCCACAGGCACTTGACACAGTGATTGTCACAGGCAGGGGTAGGGATCTGCTCAGTGCCTGCCACACACTGCTGCCCCGTGCACTATGACAGAGTCCAAGCCCACCAAGCCCCCAAACCATCCTTGTTCCACTTTTCCACTGTGGGGAGCAAACAAGGCCCCATAATCCTGAGACCAGGGTTCAGACGAGGCTCTGCACAGCTAGCGCTGTGACTCTGGGCCACTCGGCTCACTGTACTGGTTCCCAGGAGCCCAGCCAGCACCCAGAACAGCCAGTGATCTCATCTACTGGTCTTGTCAGCATTTGGGCCCAGAGTTAGATCAACAGCAGCAGGACGAGTCTCGGGCTGGTGGAAACTGAGTTACATGGCCTGTGAGGCTCCTCCCAGCACTTTGCTTCTATGATGGCATGTCCCCACAGGGCTGCTATAGTCTCATTGTGTGCTCAGCATCCAACGACCTAAACCTAGCAGGGAAAGCCTATGTGACAAACAATGTGATCACCAGAATGAAGAGTGTCCGTATCCTCTGTGGCCTCGGGTACACAGAGGAGGAGGGTTCATTGCAGAACCTCAGGATGGTTGTTGTCTCTGATCGATGGAAGACCCTCGCTGCTGCTTCCCACCTCCTGGCGGTCCTACTCAGGCTTTGCCTGCTCACAACAATGAGGGTGGAGGTCTGTAATGGTAGATAGGGACCTTTGGGGACTGTCTGGCCATGAGATGACTCTGGCTTTGCTCCTTCTATGGCTAGGGTGAGGACAGCCAGGTTTTTGTCCAGTTACAGGAGGAAAAGCCAAGCTGGGAAGGACAGAGTCATGGACCAGGAGCAGGAGGAAGAGGAATGGAGGTGACTCCTCTCCTTTTCTGCTGCCCTTAGTTCACATACCTCAGGAAATCCCAGCTTAATGGCTCCCTGCAACCTCTACCTAAGACCCCCAGATCCTCAGAATGATGATGAAGCATGCTTTGGTTCATCCCCAGGCACTCTTCCTGTTCACTCATCTACCCATCTCTCCTTTCATTATGCACTAATAACCTTCCTATTCATTTCTCTCCTCTATTTGTCCTCTCCTTCATCCATCCTTCATCTATCTTCCCATTCCTTTATCCTCTACTCTGGCCTCCCATGTAGCCGTATGTGTATGGAACCGTTCATCCACAAAATTGGCCACACTCACATTCATCTAGCTCACTATCTTCTCGTCTCTTTATTGGCCCATTTTTTCCATCCATCCTTCCATTTATTCTCTTCATCTACTCATATTCATCTGCATATCTGCTCATCCAGTGTCCCATATATCAGTCTATTATCTTCCCATTCTTCCTCTCCATATTTCCTCTCTCCATTTATACATCCATCTGTCCACCATTCTCCTTATACTTCTATTCCAGGACCCTTACTTACCTCTTGCCATTCATTCAAACTTCCTGATTAATGAAATTCATGAGACAGAGCACTTGACTCAGGGAACTTACGATTTTCTGTGTGATCAACCATTTGGAAACATAACAATCCTCAGAGCATAGTTTGGGAGTGGATGTTGAGTCCAAAGAACATCCTAAGGCATCTGGCCTCTGTTTTCCCAGGGCAGGCTAGGGGCCCTCGCCCTCTCTTTTGGGAACACTGTTGTCCACAGAGCTCCGTGGCGTGTGAAATTCTGTGCATGTAGAGAAATTGAAGCTGTTGTTCCCTTGGCCCTAATCTCCCAGAGCTACAGCCCCTGCCTCCCAGCCTGTGTGCTGGACCTAACTTGGGCCAGAGTCAGCCACCCCTGAGGGCTTCATAGGGATGGGACAGGGCAGAGCCTTGCCCCAGCCTTCCCCAAACCACCTGGCCCTGGGTCTCTACTTCCTGTTGGCCTGGGGATAGTGAGGCCAAGGAAAAAACTTCTCTAAGGAAACTAGGCTTGGACCCCCGTCTTGTAGCTCCTGAGTCCCTGGCCAGTAGACTCCCCTGCTCTTACCTTCTGTCCCTTATCCATTCCCAAGAGTAAACTTCACCCTGGTTCTCCTTCCCAGACCCTAAGGCTCTGCCCTGTGGGCTTCCTAGAGGTGTCTTCAGCAAAAGGGGTACACTCAGTCCCCACTGCCATGTTGGTCAGTTGGACGCCCCCCCCCCCCATATCCTCCTACCTTTTGACATAGGCAAGAATCCTGTCTGAGGCATGTCACCAGCTGGGGCCTGACTTAAATCACAAACAGGAAGAACCAATTGTACTTGAATAGTCTTTTAATTTCTCTTTTGTTTGCTTTTTAATGAGCATCTCACTTCTTCATTGTACCCTCTGCCCTTCACAGCCCCACACCTCCCCGCTCTAGCTCCGCTGCACAACTTGGCCTGAGGGCTGGGTCAGAGAGGTGCTCTTCCCTGCCCAGCCCCTGCATCTGGCAGGGCCTCAACTGCTCTGCGAAGCCATGGACTACCACCCAGGTGCTGCCTCCCAGAGCCCCGGGCCTCCCTGGCCCCCTGCCCTACAGCAGAGCCTGAGTCTGTTCTCATTCCTTTCCAGGGAATCTGACTAAGCACATGAAGTCGAAAGCCCACAGCAAAAAGTGCCAAGAGACAGGGGTGCTGGAGGAGCTGGAAGCCGAAGAAGGTAGGGCACTGTCTGTCACCTCTTCCTTCCCCCTTCACCGCTCCCCCCCATTCTCCTCACCAACCCCTCTCCTTCTGTCCTCCTCTCTGCTGCTCCTGGCTCTGCCCCTCTGCCTCCTTCCCATGCCCTCCCCTCCAGTTTCTCCAACCACTGAGAGACAAAGTGAAGTCATAGAATGACCACCCCACTCCCTGCCACTGTCTGTGCGAGCTCTGCAGCCACAGCTGCTGTTGGAGGGGGCAGCTCTGCCTGTGCAGGTGGAGTGCTGGCACCTGGGGGTGCTCCATTGTTTACTAAATAAATGAGCATATGAGTAATTTCAAACAGCACTGAGCACCCACTCTGTGTCAGGCACGTTCTCAGTCCATGCCCTGATTACCTACAGACCCTCCCTTGAATGAGGGCACTTACTAAAAGCTCCACACCTACACATGCCTGCTCTGCCATGGGCCGAACCCCTGGGCCCTTGGAGCCAGGAGGGTTTCATGAAAGCCAAAGCCAGATCCAAGAGCCCCTGGGCCTCCCAGCCCCACCCCACCCCTGCACCCCAGCCATGGTCCTCCAGCATCAAGAGGCATATTGGAGCAGGTCTCATGGCAGACGGGAGGAGGTAAAGGTAGTGGGTTGGCTGGCAGCACCCAGGCAGGAGGCCAGAGGGGCTCTGGCAGGAGGACAGAGATGGACAGTCAGTCTCTCCTGCAGGGACAAACCTTTGACCACAGATCCCTTGAAATCAGATCAAGACTTAGGAGTATGCAGTCTTACAAAGGAATTAAATCATGTTCCCTTTTAGGTGGAATAAATCACTTTCATGAAACAGAATGCAGTGAACTTGGGGTTGTTTCTCCCATTAAATGAAGGGTTCTCATGCTTCTCAAGAATGTGCACCGGGCCATTTACAGAGCTTGTCCCATAAGTCTTCAGAGTAGGTGGTAGAAACTTGTGCCATGCCATTTCAAGTTGAGGAAAGAAAAGCTAAGACAGGTAAAGACAGTGGCCCACAGTCACACAGACACTGGTCCATGCCATCCCACCACTAGCAGGCCAGGGAACGGAGGAGGGGAGAAGCTGAGCCCAACCCAGAACGTCCACCTCCAGTGGCTCCTGCCTGCTGCCCTCCAGCCTCACTTCCTCAGCAGGTCGGACAAGGGTGTCCATACCCACTTCTGTGAGGATGAAATCTATAGCCCAGTTCTGTTCTGGGCTGGGAGCTGGGTACCCACATAGACAGCAGTGACTCAGGAAAGCCTGCCTTCTAGAGGGGGAGGCGGGCAATGGACTAAAGGGAACAGAGCAGAGACCACACTATGAAGCAAAAGCTAAAAGACCAAGTGAGGAAAGGGCTGGGTGTGTGAGGGTAGAGTGAGTAGAAGACCCAGAGGAAGCCAGGGATCGGCAGGCCAGGTGGGGTCTGGAAAGTCTCTTCCCCAAAGGATCCAACAGCTGCCTATCTCTGGAGGCCACAGCCCCTGGTCCACATGGCTGGAACCCACTGACACCTGAGGTCAGAGAGAGCCAGGGCTGGGAATGTCAAGGGGCAAGCGTGGCAGCCAGGACTCAGGCTATGTGCAGGGACCATAACGTTAAGTGAAACAAATCAGATACACAAGTTTAAATAGCACATGACTTCTCCTGTATGAGAAATCCAAATTGTAAATAAAGAGCCAAATAAAAGAGCGATAATAGGAAGTAGGGAATATGTCTTTCCCATGGGAAAGGGATCGAGAGATGGAGGGAGAGGAGAGGAAGAGGATGAGAAAAGGAGTGAAGGCGTGCTATGTACATGTACCAACTCCACACAAGGGGTGTAAACATGATGAACTGCAAACATGCACTACAAAACATGTAGAAACGGAGTGACGGGATTCCAGGTACATTCTGTGCTAGGACCCACAGTTCTTGCTGTCATGTAGAAGGGAGAGGAGAGGGGTGAGAAACAGGGAGCAGAGATGACGCCAAGGTCTATAGCCTAAGACACTGGAAGGATAGAGTTGCCCCTTGCTGCTATGGCAGACTCGGGCCGGGCCTCAGGAGTTTGTGTGTGCAGGACACGCAGTGACGAGGTGGCCCCTGCCGCAGCCCCGCCCCACAGAGATGAGATTGAGCGTCACCGCCACCATGTGGCGCCTCTCAGCAACGGCACCCAGCGGCGCCCTGCGCTTCAGTGGGTGTGTGATCCTTGCTTGCTCTGCTAGGTCCCAGGCCCCAGAGCTGGCAGCAGGTGGGGCTTATTGAGCACTGGCTTTGACTCCAGCCCCATGAGGGCGTCGGGAAGGGCTGACCAGGCATAGGCATCCCTTAGAGGCCTGCAGGAACCTCCATGTGGAGGGCCTGGAGAGCCACCCAGCAGATGCTGGGCCCAACTTTCCCCTACCAGTAACACAACCTTCTGACCTTCACCTGGGGCCTGCCTGGGAGATAGGAGAAGAGTAGCTGAAGCTGATAATAGCTAAGGCTTACTGGGCACTTACAGCCCTCGCGAAGCTTCATGAGTTGTCTTTTCTTACTACTCTCCCATTTTATAGATGAGGAAACTGAACATGGACTAAGTTAGCCAGTGTCACAGAATAAGATGATGGTAGAGCTAGGGTTCAAAACCAGACCATTTTCTGATTTTTCATGAGCAAAAATAATTTTTAAACTGTCAGTGTAATAATGCAAGTGTTGGGGCCGGGGATTTAGCTCAGTGGTTTCACCGCCTGCTGCGCAAGTGCAAGGACCCGAATTCAATCCCCGGTACAAAAAAAAAATAAAAAATAAAAAATAATGCAAGTGTTGTGAACCTTAGTTCTGACTCAGCCAGGAGCTTGCTGAATGATCTTAGGTACTCCTCTGCCTTCTCTGTGCCTGAGTTTCACTCTATGTGAGTGAGGGGCAGGGCTACGTGAACTCCTGGGGCTGCACCTACCAGTGTCCTGCAAAAGGGAAGTAAATGCCTGGGGTCAGAGTGCAAAATGTTGCCACCCATCCCCATTCCTCCTCCCATCCCAATCCTTCATTCCCTTAAGTCTCTTGTCATTGTGCTTCCAGCTGCCAGGAGACCTGCCCTTGGCTTTGTGGTCTTCCCAGCCCCAGCTCCACCCCATAGTTGTTCACACACATCCTGCTGAATGTCCACCTTGGTCCACACTGGACCATGCACCTTACTGCTGCATGTTGAGTTCTTTGGAAGCAGTAATGCTGGGCTTTCTGGCCCCAGGGCAGCTGGGCATGGTGGAGATCCAAAGTCCCTGGAATCTTGAGATAGCTGCTATGCTAGGCTTTCCTGGTCAGCAGTGATTGTACTACTGGCAGAAGCAAGCGAGGGAGTTGGCTGATGGCGGCCTACCTGTCACCAGCCCTCACTCTTCAGGCCAGAAACATGAGCTCACAAGAGTCTAGCGATAGGCCAGCAGGCCCTAACTCTTACGAACCTTCCAGGTGGACCACACATCAGCAGAGCTCTCCCCAGTATCTAGAATGCTGCCCATTACAGAAAGATTTTAAACTAGACTCTTGGATGTGACCCAGCCGGTTGAAGCTGCTCCACAAGAAGCCAGAACAGGAAGCTGGCATTTCAGAGCTGCTCTCCCTGGCTGGGAGCTGCATGAGCTTTGAAAGGGCAGCAGTTCCTAAGGGAAAAAGCATGACAGGGATAGCCCACCCCTGCAGCCTGAGGCCAGCTTAAGCAAGCCAACCACAGAGGCCAGACTCTGCCACTTGGCAGATGCTATGGTGCCAGCTGGCAGCAGCCTGATCACAGTGGCAGATGTATGTTTAGAAAGAACACAGCTCTGTCTGCTGGACTAGCCGCCATGCTCTGTCCCATAATAATAGAGTCATCATTAATGGATTCATAGTGACTGTCATTATTTAGGCCCTCACTCTGTGCCAGGCCTGCATTTCTCCTCCTAGCCAACCCTCTGAGATGCAACTCTTACTTCCGAAAGGGGAGACTGCAGCACAGCACGGCAGCGTAACTTGCTGACAGTGAATACAGCACTGAGATGCTCACCGGAAAAGCAGGCTTGCCCTAGCTCAGCCCCAGCCCCACTACTCCCTTACTTGAGCAAGTTACTTAATCTTTCTTACCTGAATATCCTCACTGTAACATGAGGATAAAAATAGTACCAGCTTCCCCAGATTCTTTGAGGACTACATGAATTGATATATTGAAAATCCTTAGAACTGAACTTGCACATTGTAGATAGGAGGTAGCTGTTGTTAACTATTATTTGCCAAGTGTTCCCAAATGTATGTGGTTTGGCCATCCCTGTAATCCTGTGCCACTGCAGTGGCAATTATGCCTGATTAGCAGATAAGGAAACTGGGCTTAGGAAGGAGCAGCACTGGGGCCAATATGGCCCCAGGGCCCAAATGTGACCTTTGGTCTCCTGCATCCTCCCCCCAGGAACCAGTGATGACCTGTTCCAGGACTCGGAAGGGCGAGAGGGCTCCGAGGCTGTGGAGGAGCACCAGTTTTCAGACCTGGAGGACTCAGACTCAGACTCAGACCTGGATGAAGATGAGGATGAAGACGAGGAGGACAGCCAAGATGAGCTGTCCAGGCCATCCTCAGAGGCTCCCCTGCCTGGCCCACCAGCCACACTGCGGGCAGACTCCTCACCCGTTCAGAGCCCTCAGCCCCCAGATGCCACCTCTGACAACAAGGCCACAAGAAGCAGCTCCGTCTCAGAAGCTGAGCACTTGACAGCCAGCAGCTGCTCCACATCCAACCAGAGCATCCTGGACCATCCCCAGCTGCGACTGGCCCCATCGGGCCCTGTGGAGAAGGACACAGGCTCAGCCCTGAGCTCCAAGGCCATGTCCCCTAGAAGGCCATGGTCCCCAAGCAAAGAAGCAGGAAGCTGCCCACCACTCACCCACAAACACTCAATAACCAAAAATGACTCATCTCCGCAGCGATGTTCCCCGGCCCCAGAACCACAGGCCTCAGTCCCAAGCACGCCTGGCCCCCAAATGGGCCCAGGAAAGGACATGGGCCCTCCTCCTTGCAGGTCTCCAAGACTTGAGCTGTCTCCTCTCACTCTCCACCCCATGGGAAGAGAATTACCCCCTCGGGGGCATCCACCTCCTAAACTTGAGGGCACCACAGACCCAGGCCCCTCCAAACACTCACCCACCAGGAGATGGTCTCTGGGTCAGGCCAAGTCACCACCGTGGTCAGCGCTGCCAGGGAAGTGGCCGCTGGCTGGGCCAGGCAGCCCCTCCATGGGCAAGCATGGCCCAGGCTTGGGGCCAGCTCCACTAGTTCTCTTCCCACCTGCGCCTCTACCTCACAAACTTCTCGACAGAAGCCCTGAGCCCTGCACCTCCATGTGGGTGAGTTCCTGCCACATCCCTTAGCGGGTGGGGGGATTGGGAGGTTGCGGGTCACCTTTCTGAGCATCACACCTGGAGCCAAGTCACTCTACCAACTCAGTAGTTACGGATAATTCAGCACGTATTTCTTGGACACCTTAGGCCAACTGGTTTATTGCACATTTTGCACCTCAGAAGCAGTAGGCTTCTGGATTCAGGTTCTACCCCTAGCAAGTGGTATGGCCTTGGATGTAGGCATAAAAACCTGCCCCATCCCTGTTCCTCTTGTATTCTTTGAGCAAATGGCAGAGCTTAACCAAAATCATCTGTGTCTCCAACATCACGGTCACACTCCTTCAGACACACCACAGCCAGGACCATCCCTGCCAACCATAAGCATGGTTGCCATGGCTAACACCCCTCTGTCACCAGTACACCAAACACCCCACTACTGCCGCCTGTCACCCTGATGGGTGTTGTCCCATTGCCCACACAGCCCCATCCTGTTGTCATGTCACCTCTGCACCTCACCATGCTGACACCATGGCTGCCATGACCCCACCACCGACAACACTATCACTGTCACCTTCACCTTCCAACACCTTTTCTGTCACCATGTTGTTATGACCCAATGCTGGCACTCCTAGAGGTGTACTGGTTGAGGAATCTCTCCTTGATTTTTTTTTTTCCAATTCCAGAGATCGAACTCAGGACCTTGTGCTTGCAAGGCAGGCAGCAGCACCACTGAGCTAAATCCATGGCCCTCTCCTTGATTTTTAATTTTGGGGTCACATTAAAGTTCCTGGTGGTGGGAGAAAGTTGAGATCCTTGGGTGGGAAACTCACATCCAACGGTAAAGTTGGGTCAAGACCATTTTAAGACCAGGAGAAACACCAGAGCCAGGACAGAGGGCCAGGCCAGGGTAACAAGAGGGCCTCCCTCCCCGAGAAACCCCTCCTCCAGATATGCTGGCTGTGGCTGGGGGTATGAAGGCCTTGGGGCCAGAGTGTGTTCACGGTCATCATAGGTTGGGGATGGCCCACTGGACAGTGCCACAGACAGAGCAGCTAGTCATCCCCGGGCCTCTAGGCCTCGGTACTCCATGAGGCCAGCATATAACCCTCACCTTCCCCTGTCTTGTTTCTGATCCACAGAAGGCCGAGCTCCGAAGTCCATCCTGCTCACCTGGCCCTGCTCATCCTCTCTCCTCCCGACCCTTCTCCACCCCTTACGACTTCCATGGCCACATCCCAGCCCGGACAGAGGAGAACGTCTTCAGCCACCTGCCTCTACACTCCCAGCACCTGGCCCGCACCCCATGCCCCCTTATTCCCATCGGTGGGATCCAGATGGTGCAACCCCGGCCAGGAGCCCACCCCACCCTGCTACCAGGGCCTTCTGCGACCTGGGTCAGTGGCTTCTCAGGGGATGGCAGCGACCTGACAGGGGCCAGAGAGGCCCAAGAGCGAAGCCGCTGGAGTCCCGCTGAAAGCTCATCAGCCTCCGTGTCCCCTGTGGCTAAGGTCTCCAAGTTCACACTGTCCTCGGAGCTGGAGGGCAGGGACTACCTGAAGGAGAGGGAAAGGACAGGCGGAGGCCTGGGCAGACCTCCCGACTGGAAGCCCGCAGAGCCTCCACCCACACATGGCCCCTGCACCCCGCGGCCACCCCAGGGCCACCAGGCCACACAGTCCTGGAGCCCCTGCTTGGAGTCACCGCACACACTGGCCAATCCCGAGGCCTCTGCCACTCCAACACTGGACCGCAGCAGCTCCATGGGCTGCCTAGCCGAGGCCTCTTCTTGCTTCCCAGCCCGGAGGAGGAACCTCTCTGGGGAACCCAGGACCAGGCAGGGCTCCCCGGAGCCCTCAGGTAGTGGGGAGCCCGGGGCACCTCCACCTCAGCCCAAGGACAGGGACCCCCTGGACACTTAGCCTCTCTCCAACTGACTCAGCATCTGGCTTCCGGTGTTCAGCAACAGACGTTTCCAGCCAACTTCCTCAAGTCACCTTGCTCCCACGCGCTCCCTTTCCCAGTGTCCATCTGTCCACGCAGCTTCTGCTCAGCCCCCATCTGTTCTAGCTTCCCATGTATGCAGTGCCTGTGCCTTTTCTATACCTTTTGTTGCTTGACAAGAGAAAAAATAATCACATACCTACACAAAACAAAACCCGCAAGGAGCTTGAGGCTGTGAAAAGTTTGTATTTTGGGGGAAAGGCTGAGAATGGGGACCTCCTTACCTCTACCGTGGCAGGCAGTTGGCAGCTGCACCAGCCCCAAGACCGGCCAGTCATTTGCTAAAGAAAAGGAGATGCACTAGGGGAGAGCAACCGATACGTCAAAAAATATCATTAAACGTAGAAGCGAGGACTCCTGTGTACAGATGTTCATGGTTCCTGTTCATTACTGCTTTATCCCGCCCCAGTGAGTGGCTACTCCTCTCTGCCAGGAGAAGGACCAGTGGCCTGAGCCGGAGGGACACAAATGCAGGCAGGGAGCCCCGCCCCCCCCCAGAATTGTCTCTTTTTTCTTTTCTTCTTTGCGAGAAAAAAAAAATTTAAGCAAATTTGGTAGGATTTCAACACAAAATGATAGGAGCAAGTAGAAGGCAGGAACTGGTGGGTTAGTCTCCAGGACCCCCAGATGCCCAGGTAGTCTGAGCTATGGGCCCATCATTGTCCAGCACAGGTGGATAAGCCACCCTGGCCCCACCCTCCCTCCTGGCCCTCAGCTCCCTCTGGCCGGGCAAGGAGATGTGAGTGTCCATCTCCTGGCTCCTGGCCCGGCCATAGGCTGTCTCTGCTATTCTCAGAACTACCCACCAGGGTGATGGGGCCAAGCTCCAGCCTAGAGCTGTTCCTGGGCCTGGCCTTGGTTCTGCTTCACCGGGGTCCCTGTGGTCCAAGAGGCCCTACTTCTTTCATGTCTGGGCTTTTGCGTGCTCAGCACTGGAGGCTCAGGGGACCCATCTCTGGACCCCTTGCAGCAGGACTAGTTTCTCCATCCCTGCACCCCACTGTCAGATCGCCACTGCCCTACAAAACACTCCAAATAATAACTGGTAGCACCTCCTTGGGCCTATTTGTTGGCTTGTATCTCTTTAATAACAACAACAAATTATAAATCTAAATCTTGAACAAGAGGATGGTGTTTGGTACTTTCCCTAGCCTCTTCAGATTCTCTTCCCTCCACCTAAAGGATTTCCCCCTCCCTACAGCAAAAACCTGCTTTGTAAGAAAAATAATGTGACTAGATATTTAAATCCCAACATGGAACTGGACCTTTAGCATGTTTACCCCATGTAATTAAATGGAAAAGCAAGCATGCTATGTACAGGTGCCTATGGTTCTCATTTCCAAATCAGCCACAGGTCTGTCCTCCAGCCAGACCACCTTGTTCTTTCTCCTTTGCTTGCTCAGAGCTAAGACAAAAAGGGAACACCAGGGCAGGACTTCCCTTGAGGTTCACTGGACTCCAAGGTACTGGGAAATCAGACTAATCAGTAGCTTCTGGCTGCTCGACTCAGTATAGGACTCTTGCCCACGACAGGAGAAGCCAGCCAGCCCAGCATGCACTATACTGGCACTGTTTGGGCTTGGCAGGAAGTGGGTAGGAGCCTAACCCCCGGGCTCAGCTCAGGCCAGAAGCCAGGGCTCTCCTCTCCTTGCCTCTCAGCCCTAACCTATGGGCTCTCGAGTTGGAGACTTTGAGGGCTGAGGCCTGGGATCTGCATAAAGAGCATTTCCTCAGCCCTCCCTGGCCTTCCAGCCTTTCTGGGCAAGATCTTCCAGCCCTAGGCTGCTGGACTAGCTTCTGACCTTGAGGTTGGCCACACCTGTCCACCCACCCTATACCCCCAGCTCTCCAGACCATCACTCAAACAGCCCACTCACTAAGGTCCCCTTCCTGGGCAGCCTTGCTATGGACAGTACACCCAGCAGGGGAGAGTCCCCATAGTCCCTGGCGACCAAAGGACTGCTATCCCACACAGGTACCCAAAGGGACAATCAGATCCAGTTCTAAGCCCCTTTGCCAGACTCAGGGCTCATTCGCAAGAGTACAGGGCACCCTGCCCACATGCACACCTTCCTGACTTGGAAAAATATTCTCACCCTGGAGCTGGCCCTAGCTACTCTGAACTTGCAGTCTGCCAGTGAGGCTATGGTCCCCATTGCAAAAAGGAGGAAGTAGTGATGATTGGCTGATGCAGACACCTGTGCTGAGCCATGGCAATGTGTGGACGGCCATCCTTGGTTCAGACTAGCTCTGCTCCTTGGGTATTGGTGGGGGGAGGTAGCAGTTTGCCAAGTTTTCAACCCAAACCTGTCTTCTGCTAGTTTCCAAGCCTCTTGTCCCCCTGACCTGCCCTCTATGATGCCCTTTACCCTGTGCAATCCCACAGTCATTCTAGGAGTACCAATCCCCTCAAAAGGTAGGCCAGTGCCCTCCTGCACCCACCCATAGCTTACAGTCTGGTCCCAACCACTGAGACCCTCCTGACAGCAGCAAGCTGCTCACCCTCCAACAGTCTGAAGTCTATCCAAAAATGTCTGAATGAAATGGCCTCCATGTTTCTCTAGGGGCTGCTCCCTTCCTACCCAGTCCTTTGAAATAGGAATAAGCAATATATCTGAGCTGAGTTCCTCTGTAGTCCTTGCTCCAGACAAATCTTTCTTAAAGCAAAAGTCCTGGCTGAGCAGCCATCCTAGGAGACAGACCGATCTACCGTGTCACCCAGGGGGAAGAAGTTCCTGAAGGCCTAGGCCACAAATTCTGCTTCCGTGTTGTGATTCCAGTCTGCTTCCCATTAGAAAACCGCATCGGCACTTATGATCACTTTACTAAATCTAATGTTAAAAGAAAAGACACAGAGAAAATGAAAATGTGTAGGCAAATGTAAGATACACTCTGTAAGATAAATATTTGCCTTTCTTTCCTAAAAGGTGTATGTATTCTGTATGTGAAATTGTCTGTAGAAAGTTTCTATGTTCTTAAATGGCAATACATTCCAAAAATTGTACTGTAGATATGTACAGCAACTGCACTGGGATGGGGTAGTTTTGCTTGTAATTTTATTTAAACTCCAATTTCTACACTTGCATCTTGCAATGTTGGTATGGTATATATCAGTGCAAAAGAAAAAAAAACTCAACAAAAAAATCCATGCAGGTCTAAAGCACAGAGTCTGATGTACAAAAGGAAAAAATTGTTCAGTATTGATGTGTGTGATCTTTGTTGTAAATTACATCTGTACTGTGAATGAAGTTTTTACAAGTATAATAATTGCCTTTATTACAGCTCAGGCTGAGTGTTCAGCCTGAGAATATTTTTTAAAAAAAAATAGCATGTTGGAATAAATTTGAAAGTCCCAACATAGCCCTGTTTGCCTAGCTCATGGTCTTTCTTGAGGGTTGTAGAATATTAGAATATTAGAAGGGGCACACTTAGTTGCTTGTTTTATTACAGAGAAATTGGGCCCAGAGAAGGGAAGTGACTAAACTCAGCCACACAGCCCAGCACTCTTGTGGCCTTCACTTGGTCTGTCAAGGAAACGCCAGATACAGTGCCATGTGACCAGGACCTGTACTCATTGCCTAGGGTCACTGCAACAAATGACCACAAATCCAGGGCCTTTCATCCTTTGCTTTAGAGGCTCTGGAGAACCCATTCCCTGCCTCTGTCCTACCTTCTGGCAGCTTCCAGCAAGCCTTGGCCTTCCTGGATTTTAAACTCATCACTTGTCTGCCTCCACTTTCACATCTCTGTGCCTCTCCCTCCTTCTCCTCTCAGCACACCAGTCACTGAAATGAGAGCCAATCCTAATCCAGGGGGACCTCATCTCAAGATCCTCAGTTACATCTTCAGAGGCTTTGGTTCCAAACAAGGTCACATCTACAGATTCTGGACATTAGGATATAACTTTTGGAGGCCAACATTCAACTGACTACAGGATGAAACATGAATTCAGGTCCTGGCATGGCTGTATGACCTTGGATAAGTCCTCTAACTGCTCAGTGTCTGTTTCCCAATCTGTACAGTGAAGGGCAAGTCATCAAGTCACTAAGGATGTTTGTGAGATTAAGTGAGATGGTATATCCAGGGAAGCTAACAGCCTGCAACAAATGGTTTCTGAGCAGATCACTAGCGTGGGAAAGCCTACCAGATGTGGGCTCCACCTTTTGGATTCAACTCTGCTTTGCTGAGCAGCACTAAGTGCAGTCACCAGCTGCAGCAGTAAGCAAGACAGACATAGCCCACTTTCAGAGAGATCCATTTCTAGCACAGGCTGTCAGCAGTCGCTCCATCCTGGGGAATCACTGCAGGCCCTGTGGAAGAGGCAAGCACTTTAGACCAGAGGGAGTCTGCACCACCGGAGACCTCGCCTGGAAAAGCCCCAAGGGCCAGCATAGGAAGAGAAGTCATGAGAAGGCACACAGGACAGTCTGGGCGGAGAGCTGCCCAGAAGTTCATCACCAAGGACCTAAGAGGTTCTGTCTGAGCAATGAGGACCATGCTGACGTGGGGAAAACTGGCCTCGAGCCAGTCCTGGTGCAAGATGCCGGGGCCTCTCACGATGCTGATTAGCATGGGATGAATGGGAGAGGCAGAAGACGGTGGCTGAGAAGTGAGCGTCAGGTGGGAAGGGAGACACCTTCCCAGGGGCCTAGGGCGCAGGTAGGGGCCCGGGGCAGTAGCTGGAGGAGCATGGGGTCCAGGGAAAGGAGGACCCAAGGGCCCTGGACAAGCTAATCCGGAGGAGGTGAGGAGTCAAGGCTGGCTTGAAAAACGAGAGGCTGGCCTTCCCCCACCATCAGCCAGGGTTGAGAGGGAAGAGGAGCAGACAAGTCAGCACCTCTGTCTGGCAACAGGAAGCCCAGGTGCACCTGACGATGCCTTTCTCGAAGAGTGAAGTCACCTGAGGAAGTCGCAGGGTAAAGCCTGAAGAGACTTGGAAAGGTGTGAGCAAGTGTCAAGGAGAGCAAGACACAGGCCAACAGGGAACAAGATGGGTGTCCCATGTGACACCAGGTACCTGGCCACCCCTGCTACACTGTGGTAGATTCATCCAGAAGGGAAAGTAGGAGTGGAGGTGAGGATGCTGCTAAGGGAGGAGGCGAGGTTATGGGCACTCCCTCCACAAGCCAGCGAGGAGGCAGAAGGGCATGGCGGATAAGGAGGAAGGTCTGCAGGCTTGTGATGGGCAGAGGGTGGGGAGAGCAGAAGAGAGAGCCAAAGAGAGAGCAGGGCTATGAGCTGTCACAGCCTCTGAGATCACTGTGGATGAAGACTGCTGATCATAGGCACGGGGCTGAGGTACAGCAGGGGGAAGACTGCTGGAGGGACAGAGGCCTGGAAATGAGCCTCTGGGGCACTAAGCAAGTCACCCCAGTGCCATGTAAGGTTATCTGTGACAATGACAGGGCTTGGGAGGCAACCTGGGCTGTGAGCCAGAGAGTATCAGTCAGGTACTCTGCAGCACACTCCCTCACTCCCTCTTCAGTGTGCACCAGCAGGGGCATTGTGCTCATCTCAGTCACTCGGAGACCCAGACCAATAGCAGCTCTGTCCGTGTCCCCGTGAGCTCAGAGGCAGGGAAAGGAGCATGCTCAGCACCTTGCACTGACAACAGACATCCCTGCCATCCATTCTTTGGGATCTAAACCAAGTCAGGTATAATGGCAGAGAAGGGGATACTTGGAAACAGCCTGAGTGATAATCCTATAAGGTTAGGACTTCTGAGACTTGGACCGGGGAGGGAGCAGATATCAGTAATGGTAAAGGAAGAGGGTAGAGCCTGATGGTGTGATTTTTTTTGTTGTTGCTGTTTTACTGGGAATTGAACTCAGGGCCTCACGCTTGCCAGGCAGGTGCTGCACTGCTGAGCTATATCCCTGGCCCTGAGGCTGGATTTTTATAGGGAGTGAGTAGGGGGAAAAAACAGTCCAAAGGAGGCCATGGGAAGCAAAAACAGTATCCAGTGTTAGAACCTGGGGTATGGAAGAATAAGAAGCCATTAAGCTGCAGATGCCAGGGAGTATGTCCAAATCTCAGTTTGGCCCAGTGGGGAAATGGTGCCCCAAAACAGCCCCAGAAGAGGAAGAAGAACATAGTACCCACCCAGACCCTGTCTCCAACATTTTACAAAGCCCACTTGAAGTCATTACAACCATCCTGCAAGGTGAGCTACTGTCTGAATTTGCTACTTTTTCATTGCTGGGACAAAACACCTGGCTCCTGGGAAGAGAGGCTTATTTTGCTTATGGTTTCAGATGACTCCATCCATTACTGGCTGGCTCCAAGGCAGAAATAGCATGGCAGAGGAAGGCTGCTCAAGCCAGGGAGCAGAGTAGAGGAACAGCCAGATGGAGAGCTACATCTTCCAAAGGTATGTCCCAAGAGACCCACCTCTCCCGCCAGTCCCCACCTCTCCCACCAGTCCCCACCTCCTAACAGCACATTCAGCTGTGAACTCCAATGGATTAATCCACTGATGAAGTTAGTGTGCTATATGATCTGATCACCTTCCAAAAACCCCAACTCTGAACACATGAGACTTTAAGGCGACATTTCTTTTTTGGTACCAGGAGTCGAACTCGGGACCTTTTGCTTTTGAGGCAGGCAGCAGAACCACTGTTGTTCCCACTAGCTAGTTAGTGGTAGTAAGAAGACTAAAACCTAGTTGGCTCTAGGGCAGCCCTTCAGGGAACTGTATTCCTCCCTCATGACCCCACTGGGTCTTAGATGGCTCAGCTGCTACTGCCCATCTTCCAGCTGGGGTTCTCTCCAGCAGCTGCTGGGTTGTCAGCAGTGCCACCTTGGGACCATATTGGCTCGCTAATGCCTGAGGCTGCAAGCATGAACCTTGGACAGCAGACACCAGAGCTGGCATTACAGGATTTGAGATCAGCCACCTACTCACCACTATCTGCCACTGGCCCAAGCCTACCTACCAGTCATTTACACATTGCTGGCCTCTAGGCCTCCTGCAGTGGTTCTCTAGAGGTCATGAAACCCTTCCCCTTTGGGAGTGGGACAGGACAGAATGCACAGCCCCATTTTGCAGATAAAAGATAGAACCACGATCACACCTTAGCAAGCAGCAGGGCCACAGCCCAACAGATTTGACCAAGTCTCAGAAAGGCATTGCCCATGCATGGGCTGCTGCTGCTGAGCCCTTGGCCAAGCTCTGCTGGGTCCCCATCCAGGACTGGAAAGGCTGCCCTCACCCGGGTCTCAGAACCTGGAGACCGTGCTCTTCCTGGAGACAGGTCACTGACGCAGGACAATCTCAGAAAGCCGGGCCAGGCCAAGGTGGGAGTGAGCAGTGAGAAGCAAAGGAAGGAAGCTCAGAGTGGGCCGGGCCCTGAGGAGGCTGCCACAGAGGACTGCTCTGCATGGGGCACAGGTGTTGCTCAGGACACCACCTCATCCTTTTTACAGACCAGGGAACCTGTAAAAGAGATTACCCTTCTCCCCAAGGTCATCATGGTAGGTGGCAAGGTCCCCACATTTAGGAAATGGAAGCTTCCTATGGAAAGAAAATCTAGGCCTCTATGCTACTGTGCAGCCCTGGAACCTGGCTAGAGTGGGGGATCCCATTCCACATGTCCCCCAGTCCCATCCTGGCCTCAACCACTTTAGGGAGATCGATCTGCAAATGCCCCCTTTTCAGCTGAGAAAACTGATGTTCAGAGCCAGGAAGAGCTTGGACCAAGGCCAGGGCTAGGGTACTCGAGTCTTCCCCAGAGCCACCTGCATCACCTTACCCACCTCACCACTGCCCCAGGCCTGAGCGACACTTCCCATCTCTCCTGCCCAGCTCTGCCTTTTTAGGAAAGGAACAGAGCAGCCCTGGTGGCAGGCAGGCAGGCAGGCAGGTGGGAGGGCATGCTAATCCACCAGCTCCTGCGGCTCTGGTTACCCGTGGTTTGGGGCCCAGGCAGGCCGGCTGGGAGTGTCAGCCCAGCCAATGGGTGCTGCCGCAGAGCTACTCTGCCAGAGCCATACAAGGCTTCACCGCAACCCAGTCCCAAGCCAGCACAGGGCAGCTCTAGCACCAGCACCTGCCCCACCCCTGAGCCTGCCTGCTCGGCACGTCCTCGAACTCTGCCTAATCCAGCCTGCAAGCAGGCAGGGCTGCAGTGCACGTGCACCAGGCCCACGGTTCTCCAAGGTCAGGGAGGTAGCACTACCATGACAGAGGCCAGAGTCAGGGAAGGGACCTAGCCAGCCATGGGGATCCCAGCTGGGGTAAAGGTGATGGAGCTCAGTCCTGGTCCAGGCTGCACCCTCTCTGGGGAGATTGGTCAGTTCCCATCATCCCTTTGGCCCAACTGAACACCTGTCCTCTCCCCTCCATCTTTGAGAGGGGACTCA